CTACCAGCCTTACCTGTTGTCTCAGGAGGTCTCTGCTGGCTCCAGGACACTGCTCCGCTCCCCAGCCCTGATGCCATGTGCCTCCTCGCTCCCCAAGGCAATGCCAAGGAATGGAGCAGTGTCCCGGAGCCAGCAGAGCCTCACTGGGGCAGGCAGCGGCTCCTCCCCGAGGTGAGGCAAGGCAGGGATGGAGGCTGGGGCAGGGGGCTGGTGCGGGCTCCACTGGCTCTGGGGAAGTGCTCCACTCCCCAGCCCTGATGCGGGAGAACAGAGCACGTCCCCAGAGCCAGCAGAGCCCACGCCAGCCCCTAGCCCCCAACTCCTGGCCCCTGGCCCCAGCCTCTGGCCCCCAGCCTCTCACCTCCAGCCCCAGCCTCCAGCCTCCAGGCCCCTTTGATAAGTGTCCCAGGCCGGATCAAGGCAGCACGCTCACGGACTGAGGTAGCATGCTTACGGACCACTATTCCTTAGAGGTAACATTGGCCCGGAGACTGCTCAGTTGTGTTGTAACTACAGCACATCAGAATAGACTCAATCAAGTCTGCTAGAGTGTGGTAATTGCCATGCTCCAACCAGCTTCCATGTTTCATGCATCAGCGTCCCTGTACTTCAAAATGGCACCTCATGAAGCATTCTTAAGTGTGGGAACGCTAATACACAAGATGCTCCAAGTGCTCTAATTAGAGTGGCTCTCAGAGCTGCTCTAATTAAAGCACCTCCCCATTCCTGGAGCACATGTAAAAATGGCCTCCATTGTGAAGTATTAGGAAAATGCACATTAGCCTGTCTTAAACTGTGCTCTTTAGTTAATGTGCATTAAGTGACGCTTAATGCACTTTGTCTAAATAGCTTGTTTTAGTGGGGCTGTAACACACATTAAATTAGGCTAATACACATTAAAGCATATGTGTAGACATGCCCAGTGAAGAAGCGACTCAGTCCATTGTGTCCAACAAGTATAACTTGCCACAATCATTTACAGAGGATGTGGAATGAATGTGTTGGGAGAATTTTATTTTGACCCATGTAACAAAAACTGAAGAAACAGCAACTTATATGGACACTTTATCATTCCCTCAATCCATCTTAATATACAGCTGGAAAGGCCATCTCTCAAAGGCCATAGTTCTGTCTGTAGGTACATTTAGCCCTTAACTAGTTTGCGGAAAATGTTTGTCAGTGTACATATTAATGTGAAAGTCCATTTTTTAAGGAATATGAATCCCAATCTGGAAAGACCACAGCCTCTTACAAATTCTGTGCTTAGGAGGTTTTACAGCTCAAAATTAACAAGCCATTGAGATAACTTTTCAATGTTTTGTCATCCTAAATGAAAAGGGGATTTCTTTTTCTCTTTTCTCCCCCGAAGGATGTGACCTCTCACTGCTGCTATTAAGATTGGACCTGGGGGCAAATAGCTTGGGAGTTTAAAATTTAATGCTTAAAGATGTTCTATCCAAAAATGATTTTATATTAAACTCCCCAGGTCTTATGTGTTTTCCACGGCTTGGTCTCCTCTATGCTCCTGCACTTGCAGATTCTTTCCATTTCAAAACAGCTCTGTACTCAGACAAGACATGTAAAAGTAGCTTCTAGGCACCACGGTCATTAGGTGAGGAGACATTCTTTAAAAATGAGAAAAGGGCTGCATCTCACTCTCAATATTCTGGAGCAGGTTGTAATGTTCCAGGAAAGCCACATCACCAAAGCTTTTTCCACTGGGATTGCCAACAAGACACCTAAGATAGGAAAACACAATAACTCATCACAGAGGCTGTATCTGATGGAGGGCATAGAACTTCTGGGAGCAGTACATGCCCAAATGTTTTGAATACTGGTATGGAGACTAGAATCTCATCCAGGTCATTATAATTAGAGGGTACAATTGTCTGCCTTAAGATTTTAGGCTGCTTGCAGACATTAAGAAAAAAACCAGAAATGGTCCTTTACTTTAAAATCTATGTGCCCCCACGCTGATCTCAGCATGTGCTCAGAAGAAGATGCAGTTGGACCCAGCTCACCTAACTGTATAGTTCCAGTGCCTCAGTGATTGAATCAGCATTGGATAAAAGTGCCAAAAAGCCCCGCTGAAGTGCCCAATCTATACAAACACTGCAAACTGGGCTGAAGTAATGCGCTGCTTCTTCCAGTAAAGTGTGGTTTTGGGTTGTTTTTTGTTTGTTTTTTTTAACGTCTGCAAGCAGCATTAGGTATCATAGTGTTAAAAGAGTTAAGTGGTCTCAGTGCAGGTCTTGTTGAACAAGTGCCTGTTACAAATAACTGCCTCCTCACAAATAACCTTATCAAAGAGGCTCTGATTTAACTAGGCACAGAGACTAGACAACCTTCTCATTCCTAAAGGAAATGAGCTTAGACATACAGAAGCATAAGTCATGCTACTACTATGTATGTTGTACCTACTCTATCATGAGAGGAAATTGGTCTCCAAGCTAGTCCATTTAGTTACATTCAATTACATTAATTATAAATGCAGAGACAGAAACATGTCATTTTTACGATCTGCCTGTGCCGTGTCTCTAATTACCGTCTATTCTCTTTACATGCAGTCTTGGGAAATGATCCCCAACCTACTCACTGTAATGGTCTACTATGTGCTGCACCATCCTGAGGCACAGGGCTCAGAAGGCCTATGACTGGACATCAAGCCTTGCTACTTCATTTCAAAATGAAAAGTATTATCTTTAGGGGTGCACCGATAAGAGATTTTGGGAGGGCGATACTGATAGCCGATTTTTAAGGAGGCATATCAGCCAATACTGATCTGATTTCTGATACAGCTGTGTCCACCTGGTAAGTTTGTTGTGGTGGAAGAGGAGAGGGGAGGGAAGGGGCGTGGGGGGTCAGATTAATGCCCCACACAGTGAGGGAGTGGGGCTGGGGCTGGTACTGCCCATCTGGGGTGGGGCAAGGCACGGGACAGAGCCACAGCTCATCTGTGGGGTTCAGGGAAGGGAAGCAGCTCCTGCCACTATGCACACCCAGGGAGGGCACGGGGGAGAGACACGTGCCCCCTGATCCGCATGGGGCAGGCCAGGGTGGGCTGCAGCTGCAGCTGCAGCCTGGGGCTGGGAGCCACACTGGGCTCTTTCCAGCGGAGGCTGGGATGGGCTGGGCTGCGCTGTGCTCAGGGCAGGCAGCGGCACTAGGAGGGGGGCTTAATGGGGGAGCTGCAGCCACCCCAAATTTTGCTGTAGGCCCCCCATGTTCCCCCTCCCAGCACTGCTGCCACTCACCCCGAGCACAGCTTGGCCCAGCGCATCCCCCCTCCAGGAACAGCCCAATGCAGCCCTGGCCCCAGCCCACCCTGCCCTGCTTTATGCAGATCTGGGGGCACATGCCCCTGCTACACACACATGCCCTCCCCAGGGTGCATGCAGTGGCGGGAGCACTCCCCCTCCCCATGCCCCCCAGACAAGGCATGTCTCCATCCCACATCCTGCGCCCTGCCCTACCCCAGGCCCAGGCCCACTCCCTCCCTTAACACAAGGAGCATTGATCTGCCCCCCACACCCCTTCCCTGACCCCTCCCCTTCCACCACAACAGACTTACCAGCTGCACACGGCTGTCCAGGATGCTGGGCTGTGCTCCTCACTGCCTACATGCTGCGCTGTGGCTGCGTGCACACACAGGCATTTAACGGCCAAATTAGCGGCCACATCAGACTGATTTCTGATATAGTCCATTTTCTTTATATCGGTGCCAATCTGATATTGGACCAACGTATTGGTGCACCTCTTACTATCTTATTTCATCTCCCCCTGGAAATGACTCTAGATCTGTTTTAAATCACTAGGCCAGTCAAGGCCATCCCATTGCAGCAACAACTGAAATGATATAGGAACTAGTCAAAAGGAGACCTTCACAGCCTCTGGCCTCTGAGTAAGTCTTGCCAAGGAAACCAACAGGCAAAAGAACTCAGCCTTATCTCTGCATTGCTTTTGAGAGACTTACCTGAGCGCTCCCATGTTGCCGTAGTAGCGTTCGTTATGGTTGGCAGCACACCGGCTGGATGCTCTGGGCGTTTCTGTTTCATCATCTCCAATGCAGACTTTGCACAGATTCCCAGCTGCTCCTGGCATGCAGCTCTTCCAAAAGTAACTCTGGTAGGCTATAGGAAGAGAAGGGTGTGACAGTTAGTCAATGCAGGGTGTTCTAAAATGTCTTTATTCCCTACACAAGACAGTGGGCTGCTCTCATATTTAATTTAAAGAACTGGCATTTCCTCCATGTTCCTCAGAGCCAGTCTTCTGGTCTCCATGACAAAAAGATTAAAAATCACTTTATCGCTTGTATGTGCATGCTCTGAGGGCGCATCTACACGTGCATTAGGAAAAACGCATTAATGCACATTCAATTTAGTACCTACAATGTGAAATACTAAATAAACGCACTTTAGGCTGCCCCAATGTGCAGTACCAAAAACGCATGCTTTTTAAGTGACGCTTAACGTGAAGTAGCCTATTTTGCTGCTCATTAGCATATTTGTGTGGATTTTTTGCATGACGCTTTAACGCACAGTAAAATAGGCTACTGCTCATTAAAGTGCATGTGTAGACGTGCCCTGAGACTTGCAGTGAAAGAGAGCAGATCATAAGTTAACTCTTACTGAGCGAGAAAGACTGGCAAACAATATGTTTAAGCAATACTTACAAGCTCCACAAGTAAGCAAGACTGGCTGTGTGCTTATGGAAAGAAGGAAGGATACAGCCAGAGATGCTGCCCACATACCAAGCTCTGGAAGATTTAATTAACATTCCTAGGAGTCAGAAGAGACATTCTTGCTCATAGTTCCTAACACTTGGGGGCTGGAGACAGAAGGGTACCTAGTTATACATCTTGGCCCATTAGAATCTGGGTACCAAGCAGGTATCTGACTGATTTTTAAGGCTGGTTGTGAAGACCACCTGTCAGGGATGAAAGGTACCTTTTGATTATTCTGGGTTGCATTTAATACTTGGTAAAATCTATATGCCAGAGTAATGCAGAGTGAGAGATATGCATCACATACATTCATTAAGACTACTCTCACTTGAAATCCATTCAACTAAAACAGCTTCATGGAAGGTCCAAGCACAGGAGATGTGAATGCATTAGGTCACCTGCAAGTTCTCCAATCCATCTCCTTTCTTCCCTCCTCCCCACTCCACCACCCTTATCTGTTTTCCTCTCCCCAATTTTGAGATGCTTTGGTATGGCCTATCTGGCAGGTATCTTGGTACAATTCTTACCAGAGCTAATATCACAGTTCTCAGCATCATTCTCCAGAGCTCCTACTGTGTATCTAGAGAGAAGCAGCCATCCTCCAGGACTGTACAGGTGACTGTGGCAGGAGCGCCGTCCCCCCAGGTTATGGACATTTATGTGCTTGGCATTCTTCTTTGCCACAGCTATAGCATAGATAGGGGACAGTGCTGTGGGACAAAGACAGTGATACACTGTCAGACAGAAACAGCAAGGTGTCCAGGAAAGGAACATATCCCATACTAAAAGTAAGTTTTAGACTATTGTATCCTCCTTAAAACAACTTTCAGGACAAGGACAGGAGGGGAAGTCTGTCTACTGAGCTCTTTTGGCTACAGCAGAGAATCTGCATAGTCTCTTTAACTACAGAAATCCAGTACTGGCCTCAGAGCCTGGGACAGCAAGGTTTCTAGCCAGGGGCAACAGCAGTTCCTTTCAGAACCAATAAGACACCCCGGTAGTGCCATTCCTGTTTCTCCAGAAGATCACAGTCGCCTCTTCCAGTTGTCTCCTTCCCTTCCTCTGTCCATAATGGAGCTTTATTTTTTTTAAGGAAAATAAAAAAAGTGTTTAGGGGCTGCTACCTGACCATAATGCATAGGGTGGAGTGAACTCTACATCTACAGAGCCTGATGCTTACTGTTGGCCACACTGGTGATAAGCTGTGTTTTAAGAACCATGCTTTATCAGAGATAAACTGCTTGAGCCACTCTGGTGGTGATACTTCACTTAATTTAATTAAAAATCTATTAATTGGAAATCAAACATTCTTCCTTACCTCCATCCTTAAGATGGATTGGCTTCTTTGTTCTTCCAGCACCTGGGCCACATTCCTTCCCTGGATAGGAGAAACAAACACCAGGAGAATACTACCGAAAGACATAGGGATGTGAACTGGTGACTTAGCAGATCAGTATAAATGGAGCATGTGACTGGATATCAATACCACAGCAAGTGAATACTATACCTAAGGGGAAGGTGTGGCTGAGAAAACTAAGCAAGTCATGGGTGCTTAAAGGTGGACTACAGGCCTGTGCCAGGCCTTTCCATTACTTGCATTCCTCCTATTGAAAAAATGCTGATGTCTTATGCCTAGGGATCTACCTAAATCATGCCAGAAAAGCGCTGTGCAGTGGCTCCTTTAATCTTGTTATTTTTACCATGCCCCTCCCCATTGCCCCACTGATTGGGAGGGGCCCTGGCAGCCCTACCACTTGCCACTTGTTCCTCTTTGGCAGGGAGGCAAAAACCATGGTTTTAAATACAGCACAGTTTTTGCTGATCAAGGGCAGACGGCGAGTGGCAAGGCCACCAGGGCCCCTCCACCAATCAGATTAAGGGAGTCACTGTGCAGTGGACTTCCAGCGCAATTTAGGTGACATGCCCCCAGGCTGTCATGCAGTGAGAGCTTGCCTGGTGCAGTAGTTATAAAGATGCTGACTTGCAGTGAGACAAAGTGAAAGCTCCTCAGATGAGGAAAATGAATGCAGGAAAGTTTCCTTCCTCAGGCTAAAGTATTGAATCAAGTATTTCTCCCTGTCCTAGATGGTTTCAGTAAGAGACTGGTTTAACTTCTTTGCAGAATCTTTTCTTTCCACAATATATACAGTGTCACCAACTAGAGAGGAACTTCTTTCATTCCACCCACCGCACAGAGTTCATGGAGAGAGACATCCTCCAGATTCTGGTTTCTCAAAGTTAAGAATCATGCACCACTTCCACCATCTATGAGAATTCATTGCATGTTACAACAGGATTGTGTGAGGGAGTCAGTCCCAATGTGAACCAAAGGGGGCAAGAGTGCTAAAAAGGCCCCTTGGCTCAGTACAGGCATCCAGGAGGGCCTGAGGGCAGAAAAGGTGGCATATAATCAGTGGAAGCAAGGGGCTATCACCAAGGAGGATTACACCTCTGTTGCTCATGATTGCAGGGAGGCAGTTAGGAAGGCCAAGGCAGAGACATAACTACAGCTGGCAACCAGAATTAAAGATAACAAAAAGTCCTTTTTCAAATACACAGGGAGTAAGAAGAAGGTACCAGGTAACGTGGGGCCCCTACAGGACAGGCTTGGCAATCTGGTGATTGCAGCAAAGGAAAAAGCTGATCTCTTCAACAAGTTCTTTGTCTCCATATTTCTGAGCAGGGACTGGGACAACTCCCCCACTAGGATTACAGACAGGCTCAGGGGCATGATGCCTAGGGTCAGGGATGATCTAGTTAGGGAACTTTTGGGGGGGCTGGATGTGTTTAAATCAGCAGGTCCAGATGCTCTTCATCCAAAGGTACTGAGGGAATTGGCAGAGGTCAGAGCAGGGCCCCTGGCACAGCTGTATGAGCACTCCTGGTGCTCTGGCCAGGTCCCAGAGGACTGGAAAAGGGCCAGTGTGGTCCCCATCTACAAGAGGGGGAGAAAGGAGGACCCGGGTAACTATAGGTCAGTTAATCTCACCTCAGTCCTTGGGAAGACCTTTGAGAAAATTATCAAGGAGCACATCTCTGGTGGCCCAGCATGGGAGGTAATGCTCAGGGGCAACCAACATGGGTTCACTGTGGGCAGATCCTGCCTGAATAACCTGGTTTCCTTTTACGACCAGATCACCAAGTCCTTGGATACAGGCGTTGAGGTAGATGTTGTCTACCTGGACTTCAAGAAGGCCTTTGACACTGTTTCCCACCCCATTCTCATAAAAAAACTAGGCAACTGCAGCACTGATGCCTACACAGTCAGCTGGGTGGCAAATTGGCTCAATGGTTGCACCCAGAGAGTGGTGGTGGATGGGTCATTTTCGACCTGGAGGGATGTGGGCAGTGAAGATCCCCAGGGCTTGGTCCTCAGGCCTGTGCTATTCAACATCTTCATCAGCGACTTGGAGGTGGGTGTGGAAAGCACACTGTCCAAATTTGCTGATGACACCAAGATGTGGGGAGAAGGGCATGCTGGAGGGGAGGACAGAATCCAACTAGATCTAGACAGGTTACAGAGGTGGGCGGATGAGAATAGAATGGAATTCAACGCAGACACGTGAAAGGTGCTGCATCTAGGGAGAAGGAACCTGCAACACACCTATAGGCTGGGGAACACTCATCTCAACAACACAGTTACTGAAAGGGATCTTGGACTCATTGTTGACTCCTGGATGGACATGAACCCCCAGTGCAAGGAAGCGGTCAGTAAGGCTGACTGCACCTTGTCATGCATCTACAGATGCATCACAAGCAGGTCCAGGGAGGTGATCCTTCCCCTCTATGTGGCACTGGTCAGGCCGCAGTTGAAGTACTGAGCCCAGTTCTGGATGCTG